ATGGATTTTAAAATAATGTACTCCTGCCAGGGTCAACTTTCACTGTGAGCTGTTTTTATTTATTAATTGGTAGATGCATCATATATTGATCCCATCTTCCTCTCTTTTAAGATATTGATCATTTCTAAATTCCTTTGTAATCTGAAAGTAGGCAGGAATAATTAAGACTCAAAAAAAGCAGATTTTCTCTTCCTTTAGAATCCAAATGATTGTCATCTTACTTCATTTATCACTGTGTCTCAAATTCCTCATCTGTGAAATGGGGACAATAAGAGGGTTCAATCAGATAAAATAAATAAAAGCCCTTGGAACAGTACCAGGTTATGTTAGCAACTAGATAAATGTCATCTATTACTCTTATTGCAATTATCCCCACTCATTTTCCGTTAATTATTGAGGAAAACTCATTCAAGTTTGCTACATGTTATATATCACTGACATATACAAAATCCTTATCCATTTCTAGTGAAATGTTCTGGAGCTCCAATGGATTCAATAAACTGGGGAGCGATGGGAAGTTATAAAGTCAAAGAGCCAGGTTCTAATCCTACTTCTGCCACTAAATTGCTACATGACTCTGGGCAAGTAATTTAATGGAGTCTCAATCTCCACTTCTGAAAAAGCTTACCTTGGATATGAAGCTCAAACGAGATAATGCAAGACGAATTTTTTTTTTAAGTACTATAGTATTCCTGTCATGAGGAAGATACTTCTATCTGGGAACAGTTTATAAGATATCAACTAAAGAAATAAATGGCCACGGTCTCTTACATTCTTAAATAACAGCACAGTGATATGAATCACCACATAAGCTATTTGCTGAATATTCTCCAATATCACCAAGTCATAACTATTTTTAAAATATTATACACAGGAATATATAATATTTCAAATATTCCTGCAAAGTAAAAGAAAGAGAAAAGTGGATACAAAAGTAATCTCAGGGATTTGTTGAGTAACAGCTGCTAAAATCCTCACTTCATGGCTTTAGCATAATTTTTATTTTGATGCAGAACCCTTCTATTGGTCCTAGGCTTTTGTTTATCATAAACACAAAGTATATATATACACACGTATATGAATAATGGTGACCAACTGGTGAGTTTCATTACTAGTTTCTTATACTCTAAGATAAATCCAGTGTTCTTATAAAATTGCATACTACAGTTCACAAGCTTTTAAATCTTAATTTACTGAAAAGAGATATGGGGGTTATAACATTGTCTTTGTACATTTCAATTAAATTACCACACAAAAAGTTAGCCACATATTTTTGCATTAATGCTTAATAACATGGAAAGATATAATGTATATCTCTGATGACATTCTTTATAGAATGTCCCCTAATGAAATATAGGAAATAAAGTAGTAAAATTCATCTTTTGTAAGGAATAAACTCCTAAAAAGCAGTGTATAAGCATTTTCAAATAAGATGCCATTAACACAGCAGCAATACTCTCCATTATAAAGAAATCCAGTTATGAAGTCTCTTATAAAGTTTATCTTAATGACACTCTCCTAATTTACTAATGTGTAAGTTTCCATTTTCATTTATTTAGCTTTCTCAATATAGGAGATATACATGTCCCACAGGACACTACAGACTTCAAAATATCTAAATGCAATTTAAAATATGTGAATGCTGTTGATTTTTTAAAAAGCCATATAGAAGTAATTTTTTATCAACTATAATTGTTAAAATTAAAATTTTAAGAAACTAGTTTTAAAATATAAGTAATGTGAAACAAGGGACAGCAAAGACAGAACACCATTCTGTAGATGGGTTTCTAATACTCGAGGTTAAAATCAAAAGACAGATAAAATGTGAGCTTATCATCATAAAATTCAAATACCAACTACTTTTAATATACTTATTCCACTGTGTTCCCAGAAAACATACTAGATCTAATTCCATAGGCCTAATACATGCACATCCTTGCAGGTGTGGCTTTTCAGTAATATGGGGGAAAGTAAAATCCTACTGATCTTAAAGACTAACTTGCAATAGGAAATAGGTGAATTCGGGTTAGAGGCCTTATGAAGGTTGTTCTCAAAGTTTTCAGTTAGTCTCACTGTGGACCATATTATATTAGGAAACACTCTAACATGGGTCACTTATAGTTGTTTATGCTTCCATTTACTGCTGATGAACTCAGTCCCAGGAGATGGCTTTTTCAGCCATCCAGAATGTTATGCCAACTTATTAAAAGTTCACAGATATAAAATCTTCAGTTAACACAAGTGTATCTCACTGGTTTACGAAACTATGAGTAGAAAGAAGAGTCTTGGGGCCTGAATTAGAAAATCGCTAAATAACATCACTTTGCAGAGTCCATAGTACACAGGAGCCCCTCAAATATTTCTGTTAAATAAACAAATGGACAAAAAGTATGCTTCCGATTACTACAACTATTTGAAAGGAAACTATATGAAAAAATACTTATAATAGTATTCTCATTCTTTAAATGAGATATTTGTAAAAACACTTGGAAGCGCCTGGCCCATAGGAAGGTCTATATGTATTTGTCATCACTCTTGTCCTAGAATCTTACTTTGGTTCACAACAATCTTTGTAGCTGCACCATATAAGCCATGACCACCACTGATAAAAGGAACTCGGATATGTGCACACCACTAGTGAGGCTGCAATTGCATTACTTTCATATGTGGAAGAAAGAATATCTAGGATAACCACTATTGCTTTATAATGAAGATTAATTCAGGAAGCTTAACATACAAGGTAAATTCAGCCTTATAATTTATCCTACCAACAAACTGATCCCTTATAAGCCAATGTGTCTTCTATAAATTGTATCTATATAATTCAGAACTCCATAAAGAACTATTGATAATATTCATGTTCACTTGTATCTAAGAAATTCAATTAAAAAGAAAACATCAAAATCCCAATTGATAATTGACCTGCAAAAGTTTTCCTTCACACTGAAGTAAACTGTAATATAGGAGACTGCTAAAACATGTTTGGGATTTACTCTCTTACACTTTGATTGCTGACCACAACAGAGATGAAGACTGAGGTAGTTTGGAAATTCTGTGAGGATTAAATCAGACTATATTCTTCATATTCTCTAAGGAAGTAAGCTTTAGGCTGTGCGAAGCACCCTCAACTTCCAGGGGCCAAGAACAACAACTGCTGCAATGAAAGAGCAGAGTAGTTAGGGTTAAGGAGGTGGCTGCCTTCTACAACGAAACTAGCTTGAATATCTATTTGTTGGCATTATTAAAGTCAACTCTATTTCTTTGACTTAGGCAGTGGAGCGTTTGATAAGATACAGAGATTTTTAAAATAAGATGTCATTTTGAATTAAACCCACCAGGGATCCTTCTCCATTACAAGGGAATCCAGTTATGAAGGTTCTGATAAAGATTACCCAAATAATGATCCCATAATTTATAAAATCACGATTCAAAATGCATTATGGTATAATAGGGAAAGAGTCTAATTTGTATTGCACATAAGTGATAAGATATGCCACAAATGCTAAATAATATAAAGTAACTTAAAACTGATATAATCATAACTGCATTAAGGGGTTTGGCTAAGATGTAACCATGTTGTTTAACTGAAGTGATCAACAAAAGCAAAATCAAAAGCTTCATACACATTTCAGGGGCTGTTCATAGCAATGAACCATTTAAATAAAACTGTGGGGAACAAGCAACAGAGATGAGTTATAGCTGTAATTATAAGATGCTTTTACTTCTCACTGCAAACAACTGATTAACTACTAAAAAGTAACATAAGTGTTTTTTTAATTATACGTAGATTTTTTTTTTTTTTTTTTGCAGGAACAAACTAAATCAATTACTGTCCAAAAAGGAATGGTTGCAGTAGAGTAATAGGTATAGGGGAAATTTTAAATGCATTTAATCAGTGGAGGCAGGTAAATTAGATTCCTACACAATAAAATAGTTAAAGAATCTTTATCTTAATTTTAATTACTCAAATTACTCAAATACATTAGGACTTCATTTCTTCCTTTGTAGTTAGTTCTGCATCGTTTCACATGGTTTTAGTATTTTCACCAAGGAATCCCTAATTTACTGAAATAGTTTTCTAATATTACAAACACTAAACCAAAGTATATAACTTTTGAAGTAGTGGGGGAAAAGTTCCCTCTTTTGAATAAAAATGATACAAAAATCTCTAAATGTAAACAAAAAGACAAAAGTATTAAACTAATTTAAAATGCCTTTAGAAATATGAATGGAAAATTATCTTTTATAAAAATATTTTACAGAAGAGAAAGGGGAAAGCATACAGATTCTCCTTTTTGAAGGTTTTGTTTTAAAACACTATTTCTGAGTAAGATGGAAATAATTCCAAAAAATTCTTTTTATTTTCACTTTAATTAGGTTGGCAGAATTATTAGAAATACTGAAGGACAGCAGATAAGGGAAAAAAAAAAAATGGAGAATCTCTCCCCCCGCCAACAACTAAAGTACTAGTCACAAAACAGAAATATTATTTATGTCATTTTCTTCCACTAGTGTTTAAAATTGTGGGTAGTCACTGACATAATGAAATGATTAAGACATATTAAAACTGTAACTTCATACTATTCCAAGTGATATAGCTTCTTATGTTAACTTTAAAACTCATACAAAATAATCATAGGTAAAATGTATTAAACTGCTGTACACAGTACAACAGTCTAGTTGTTTTTGTCTCAAACAGGGTATGTTTATAGCATAAGTGGGTCATTACATAGCAATAATCAGATCCTTCTAACAAATGATTCAGAGAAAAAATATATATGTATATATTATTATAGCAATAATCAGATCATCCCAAGAAATGATTCGGAGAAAAAAAATAAATTTTACATATGTATATAAAAATATATTTTTGTGTATTTTATAAATATATATAACTGATTTATAATTTGGATGTGAAGCAATCTGACACTTTTAAAAGTTATTAAATGGAAAATTTAATTATATCTTCAATTCAGGCATTACTAGAATATATGTGTTACCTCAACAATATCCGAGTTGGTTCTGCTTTCATGAGGTTCATTATACTCTGTATACTTGAGAAGAACTTTGTCCATGTCAGTGCTGGCATACTGAAACAGTTTGTTAGAGCTGTTGAAAATGATGAGTGCTATTTCACAGTCACAGAGCACACTAAGTTCATAGGCTTTCTTCATTAATCCAAACTTTCTCTTTGTAAAAGTAACCTAGACAATCAAAGAAAAAAAAGGGTGTATTTTTAGTAAAAGCATTAGTAGTACTTGAATATAAGCTATCTAAAGATGAGTCCTCTCTTAATTCTGTGTCAGATTCCAAAGTTGAAAAAGGTTCCTAGCCTCATGTTCCACATGAGCCTCTTACTCCCCCCATCTGCCACAAGACTACAGTCCTACATTTAACTTGTAACTCCTGATAAAGCACTCCCCTGAGGAGGTTTTCCTTTATCCCTGGCTGCCAATCTGCTGCAGAAGGCAAAGAACCAGAGGACACAGTTGACCACTGGCCCCTTATCATCCAGTTTAAAAACAGTGTAGGGTCAACAAATTCCCCAATGTCCTCAAATTCTTCTTTGAATATTTCTTCGCTTCCAACTGAAACCTGTCACCTGAAGTCCTTTCAAATAGAGACCAATTTTTGTTGGTTTGTTTTAAAAATATTACATCCACTATGGTCAAGAACCTGAAAGATAAGTAAGTCCTTTTTGCTCTCTCTTCTATCTTACAAGTTATTTTTCCTTCCTTCCCCTTCAAAAGCCCCAGGTATTTTGAAGGTCACACCATGAAATTTATACCACCCAATAATTCTCCTTGTGATGGGCACCAAGTGACCCCCCTCATGTACTGATAACTCTCAGCTGGTACTTCTCTTTCTATCCTTACTCTTATCTCTGGTGACTTCAGTATCTGAGTTAAAAAAAAAAAAAATCATTGCAAAAACCTCCCCCAACCTCCAAATGATCCACTTCCACCACATGTCAAACACCTACTCCTACTGTCACACCTTTAACTCTGCCATCACCAATAATCACATCACCTCCAAAATCTCAATTTCATGTATTCCATTTTGCCTATCCAGCTCTCCTATTTTGTATTATCTCTCCAGAAATTTTTTAACCTTTATCCAGTCCTCCAATCCATTTACCTCACCACTTCGTTACTGTCTATTCTCATGTCCTTTCTTCACTCATTGAAGTGCATGTGCCCCTTCAAATGACTATGCTTGTATCCTTTGGATAACCAAGTGATATTTTTGAAACATAAATCAAATTGTTTAAGTAGAAGTTTAGAGCTTTTTACTGCACTGAAAGTAATATCCCAACTCATTAAGTAAACAAAATAAATTATATGGCCTCAAACTCTGTCTGAAGTTATTTCCCTTCACTCTCCTTTACATCCATTAAGCCTCACTGCTGTGTTTGTGTGTGTACTTATATGTGCATGTGTGTGTCTTCCTTAACCACCAGCTACTTTCTTCTTTAGGAACTTTGTTATTTTCCCTCCTTGTGGAACACTCTTCACACTACATGTGCCTACTGGTTCCTTTCCTCACCTTGTGAAAATAAATCTCTTATCATTATTTAATCTTTTAAAATATCCTCACAATATAAATACACAAATAGATAATTTTATATAAATGCATATATATGGAAATAGTGTTTTATGGTTGCCTCCCTACCTGCACCAACATAAACCCCTTTATCAGTGTTTTCAACTTAGTATTTTTCATTTCCACACTTTTGCGCAAGATCATATAACCATATTCACATATACATGTATACATACATAATGGATTTGGCAGCATTTGACAAAATAGGGACTCTATCAATACTCTTTATTTTATTTTACTCATTCACCCACACCTTGTGGATATGCCTCTAAGTCAAATGGTATACTAAGGTACTTTTTCATATAAATGTTACAACTGTTTTGCTAGTATGATAGATGTAAAATAAAAATCTCATTTCTTTAATATATACTTCCTAACTAGTAGTGGTTAGATATCTTTTTCTTATATTTGTTGTCATTTGGGATTTGGTTTCTCTATAACTTCCCATCTTTTGACCATTTTCATGTTCTGTGATTTTTTTACTTATCTAAGTAAAAGCTCCTTAGACAGATATGTTAACTATGTTTTACAAATACTTTCTCAAATTCCCCACTTACATGTTAACTTTGTTTACATAATATTTGTCATTAAAAAGTTTTAAACTTCTATTACTGATTACAATACTGTTTCTCAGAATCCTGGCGTTGTATCATGCCATTTTAAGAATATAATGAATATAAGAATGCCATTATTAAAACTATTTAATAATAGTTTTATTATTACTATTGATAAATGTACGAAATTTTTGAAATCATTTATGTCTTGAGATGCACTTAGATGTACTTTCTGCACTTAAAATTCTGAATTTAGCAAAGGTTAAGTCAGAAATGTTTTTCCATTACTTCTAGTACTAAGAAGAGGAAGAAAATGACAATCAACAAAGCATTTCTTCCAAGAATAATTCTTACTCTAGTCAAAGGCTTTCAAATTAAGTGAGCTATGAACAAGACAGTATTAAAATTGAGAAAGTAATGCTGCTTCAGAATATCCATTAAGCATGACTGGAGAAAATTCTTTAAAACAAAAACTAGGGATGCCTGGATGTCTCACTCAGTTAAGCATCAGCCTTTGGCTTAGGTCATGATCCCAGGGTCACGGGATTGAGCCCCACATCAGGCTCCCTGCTCAGCCAGGAGTTTGCCTCTCCCTTTCCCCCTTCCCCCTGCTCATGCTCTCTCTCTCTCCCTCTCTCTCTCTCTCTCTCAAATAAATAAAATCTTAAAAAAAAAAGATAGTTCACTATCAGTAAAAAGAGTATGCCAGTCCCTGCTGTCCTTTCCAAAAATACTTATTCAAAAATATTTCTTCTAAGTTATCAATAAGAAGGCATTCAAGATGAAGGAAGGAGTTAGTGGAGGAAGGGACTCAATTTATAAAAATACCCTCTCTATTCCTCCAATTTACCATAGGTCTAAAAGAGCTTTTTCAGTAACTAGAAAAATGTGTACAAGAACACACTTATATTTCAATGATGACACCAAAGAGATTACATTGAAACTAGAATATTAATATTTCACTTTCAACTTCCATAAATGAAATCTTTCTCATTTTATCTATAGCACTTAAACACTCTGGTTTACTGCTAGCAACTTATAGGAGATTAATAATATAAAATTAACTTTACATTCTTATAAACTGTTTTGTCATCCCCGTATTTTGCAATAACTTCAAATTTACAGAAAATTTTCAAAAAACACATTTTTGATATATCTTCAACCAAACTCCCCACCTGTTAACATTTACCATGTTTGTCTTCCCTAAATAAAACACACACACAATTTTTTTTTCTGAATCCTTTGGACTAAGGAAGAGGTTACAAGGTCCCTTTGCCCCTAAATATTTTCTTAAAAACAAGGACAAACAAAATTATCAAAATCAGAACACAAGTATATAGTACTATCATCTAATCTACAAACATTATTCAAATTTCTCAATTATCCCACTAATTTCCTTTTTTTCCCCCCTAGTACAGGATCCAATCCAGAATTAGATGTTACTTTCTGAAAACTGCATCTTTTTTTTTTAATTTTATTTTATTATGTTATGTTAATCACCATACATCATTAGTTTTTGATGTAGTGTTCCATGATTCATTGTTTGCATATGGCGAGGGAAGCAAGGGCAAAAATGAACTATTGGGACTTCATTAGGATAAAAAGCTTTTGCACAGCAAAGGAAACAGTCAACAAAACCAAAAGAAAACCGAAAGAATGGGAGAAGATATTTGCAAATGACATATCAGATAAAGGGCTAGTATCCCAAATCTATAAAGAACTTATCAAACTCAACACCCAAAGAACAAATAATCCAATCAAGAAACGGGCAGAAGACATGAACAGACATTTTTCCAAAGAAGACATCCAAATGGCCATCAGACACATGAAAAAGTGCTCCACATCACTCGGCATCAGGGAAATCCAAATCAAAACCTCAATGAGATACCACCTCACACCAGTCAGAATGGCTAAAATTAACAAGTCAGGAAACGACAGATGTTGGTGGGGATGCGGAGAAAGGGGAACCCTCCTACACTGTTGGTGGGAATGCAAGCTGGTGCAGCCACTCTGGAAAACAGTATGCAGGTTCCTCAAAAACTTGAAAATAGAGCTACCCTACAAACCCAGCAATTGCACTACTGGGTATTTACCCCAAAGATACAAATGTAGTGATCCGAAGGGGCACATGCACCCCAATGTTTATAGCAGCAATGTCCACAATAGGCAAACTATGGAAAGAGCCAAGACGTCCATCAACAGACAAATGGATAAAGAAGATGTGGTGTATATATACAATGGAATATTACGCAGCCATAAAAAAAAAAACCCGAAATCTTGCCATTTGCAACGATGTGGATGGAACTAGAGGGTATTATGCTAAGCGAAATAAGTCAATCAGAGAAAGACATATATATGATCTCACGGATATGAGGAATTCTTAATCTCAGGAAACAAACTGAGGGTTGCTGGAGTGGTGAAGAGAAATTAAGGAGTCGGTCCCTATTACAATCGCACCCAAAACCATAAGATACCTAGGAATAAATCTAACCAAAGAGGCAAAGAATCTGTACTCAGAAAACTATAAAATACTCATGAACGAAATTGAGGAAGACACAAAGAAATGAAAAAATGTTCCATGCTCATGGATTGGAAGAACAAATATTGTGAAGATGTCAATGCTACACATTTAATGCAATACCTATCAAAATACCATCAACTTTTTTCAAAGAAATGGAACAAATAATCCTAAAATTTGTATGGAACCAGATAAGACCCTGAATAGCCAGAGGAATGTTGAAAAAGAAAAGCAAAGCTGGTGGCATCCCAATTCCAGACTTCACGCTCTATTACAAAGCTGTCATCATCAAGACAGTATGGTACTGGCACAAAAACAGACACATAGTTCAATGGAACAGAATAGAGAACCCAGAAATGGACCCTCAATTCTACAGTCAACTAATCTTTGACAAAGCAGGAAAGAATGTCCAATGGAAAAAAGACACTCTCTTCAACAAATGGTGTTGGAAAAATTGGACAGCCACATGCAGAAGAATGAAACTGGACCATTTCCTTACACCACACACAAAAATAGACTCAAAATGGTT